CCCCAGTTTAATGGTTTAAGTGTTCCCAGATGATTCTCCAGCCCCCTCCGAGAAGAGACAGGGCCCGAAAAACCATGTGTCTGTTTTTGGGGGGCAGTTTAAATACCCTGAGCAAGTGGTCTTGCACATATTTTGGGGGAGAAGCCATGTTTGGTGGGACTTTCTTGGGGGCAGGCTCTGGGAAGAGAGGTGGAAGCCCATGAGAACATTCCAGACTCTTTGAGTATATAGATGTCAGTATGCCAGGGGCTGAGTTGGAGCTTCTACCAGAACAATCTGAAATTTCATTAAGAAATATTCTGTTCTTTGGGAAACAGGGAAGACCTGGAAAATCAGACTCCATGATATAGGAATGGGCCCTGGGGATAAATTTACCTTACAGAAGATACTAGCCTCCCAGATGTCCACAGACCTTTGGGTCCTTACAAATATCTATCCACACCACAACCCTATCCAACTGTCCTCTCCAAAGCCCTTTATACTCCTGGAACCAGAATCTCATCTCCCACTGTCCAGAAAGCTGAGGGATCCCCATCCCTATTTTCCACTCTTAATCATTTCCAGGCAGAAGTCAGCCAGATTCTTGGTTATGCTTTGATACCTCAGCCCCTGTACTACATAGGGATGGAAACTAACCTGGCTGTCAGCCCATTGACTGACAAAATTCATTGTGACTGGCAGCATCCCAAATTAACATTAGAGGACTTGACAGTGGGCTCTAACTTCTCTAATACCCCAAACCTTTAACCTAGATGCTTCCCTGTATCCTAATGTCTGCTATTTGTCCTTACAGGTTAACACATCTGGATAACAGCAATATTTCTGGGCTCCTGGTATGACTTGGTGGGCATTTACTAATGATTTGACTAAGTGCTTCTTCTGATGCTTTCTGAACTGAGAGGACCCCCTTTCCCCCTTTTTGCATCTTAGTATACATTCCACCCCATGTATATGTATTTAATGGGGAAGAAGGGAAATACATTTAGATACTGAACTACAGAGAGAGGTGGTGGGGAGAGGGAAGGAGGAATTGAGGGGGGAGAGAGGGAGGGAGGGAGGGAGAGTGAGAGAGAGAGAGAGAGAGAGAGAGAGAGAGAGAGAGAGAGAGAGAGCTGTCCTCAGACCTGGTTTGTACAGGCATAGCCAGCTTATTAGCCTTTATCATGGGAGATAGAAACTTTTTAAAAACTAAGTAGATAGGTTGATCAGGACCTAGAGTTACTGAAAAATTCCATTTCTGAATTTAAACACGTTAGATTCCTTTATCGAAATGGTCCTACAAAATAGGATTTAGACTTACTTCTCAGTAGATAAGGAAGATTTTGTATGGCTTTGGAGAAAAAAACCCTGTTGTTTCTACACAAACAGATCAGAACTGATTTAAAAATTCTTTCCATGGTTGGGGAAAAACTGAAAAGAGACAAGGACATTAATTAATATTTGGTACCAGTCTTCTTTTGGTCCCCCTCACTAGCCACTCTGCTATCAGTACTTGCAGGGCCCTGCATCTTAAACTGTATCATCAATTTTGTATCAGCTCAGTAAAATTAATGGTCCTTAGGATGAACTGTACCTCTTTAGAGCATATGTGTCCATGATTTGACTCATCTACTCAGACTAGTGGGCAAAACAACAGGCCGTAATACCTTAGTATAACTGACTCCATGAAGGAAATACCTTTCAAGCTCTAATGCTGAGCACATAGAAAGCACCACCTGCCAAAACAAAACCAGACCTAATCCATGAAAGTCCATGGTTCTGGGAAACTCTATAATACCTTGCTTTTGGGCTTCTGTAGTTATGCTTCCAACTTACTGTTCTTACTGCCTATGGTGTGTCAACCAAGGATAGGTTTCTTGTGTTTAAGACTCACCCTAAGAAATTCTTGGGGCTATACTTGGTCCTAAACAGCCAATGTAGTCACATTCTGGTTATTAAAAGTCTATTAGCTTAAACATATATCTACATAATCTTCTCTGGTGGATTCTCCACACAAATCTCTTCAGGATAAGTCATGTATCTGATTTAAGCACTCATAGGATTGTACATAGTGGTCTGGGTGCTTGGTTGAGCTTTTTGGCTCTGACTTAGTGTTATTTATTTCCGAGAGGGTGAAGGAGCTGTGAGCTGAAACAACTCTGCCTGTTCCTACTGATACATCCTTGGGGGACAGAGCTCTGCTGTAAGTGGAGGAGCAGAATAATAATTTTTTCATCACTGGAGATAAAGGTCAGGCAAAGATATGTAGGATATGTCAGATGTGAACACCCAGAAACTAGGATAGAATCTTGGAGATTTTCTATTGATGCATGGATTCTCTTTGGTGAAAACTTTTCTCTAACCTCTGTTGATAGGCTCTTCTTAGGAGGGAATTTTTGTTCTGAAACTCTCTAATGGAGGGTGTCTTTCTCCTGAGCTACCTCCCCTTCAATGCCATCTTCCCTGAGTTAGAGCATACTACAGCTATTGTCTGTAAGCACAACTTGGAGTCTTTAAAAAAGATCTGCATATTCCACAGGTTAAAGAAAATTTGGACATGGGGAATAACTAGGAATGTTCAAATTTGCTTAATGAACAGCTCAAATTGATGGGTGGTTTATAATTAAGACTCTACCATGGGGCTACTCTTTATTTTTTACTCAAGGGTTTTGAGACCGTACACTGGTTGACTAAAAGTCTAAAGCTCCCTTCTTAAGCACCTAAAGGTCAAACTTGCTTCCAGGAGGCAAGCCAGTGGGGAACCTCCAGGAATCTTGGAGGATTCCATCTGTTTGTAAAGATTAATGGAGGATTGCCCAAACTTCCTCCTCTTAGACTAGCATCAGTAGAGTGTATTCTAGCCAAGAGATGGTCATTGTTATGCCCAGATCTCGGGCAACCCCAAAAGACCACCACAGAGAATGAGTCCTGTATGTAAAAGCAAAGAACCTTTATTTTCAAGCTCAGAGCTTAGGCTCTGTCCAACACAGTAGTGAGAGCAGAGAGCCCAGAGCCCAGGCAGGGTGTGGCTTTTTTTTTTT